CTTTTTTATGTATTTCTGTTTTTTTATTTTTAGAAAATGCAATATTGATGAAAATACAAAGATATACAAAAAGAAACCCATGCCTCTAAAAAATACAAAAGAATAAAAAAGTAAGAAAAAGGAAATATTGCCACCGGAAGTCATTCTGTTCGCGCAGGCGCAAATGAGCTGATGGTACGGATCGTGCTACCGGTACGGATCGGGTAATGACACCCGGGGCAAATTTTCATAGTGTCCTCCATGTTTTATTTCATATGACTCGTTGCAGTATCCCACGGCCGGACATGCTTGTGACACAAGGCAGCGGGCGTCAACACATCTGCAGCAACATCTGCTGGACTGGAAGTTGTATTCCACTTGGTTTGGCTGATGTGCGCCAACCATTCATGTATTTTATTTGTTCATTTTTTTTTTTTTATAATCGATTTTTGCCTTCAAGAATCAATGCAGTAGATCACAAAAATTAGAATCGCGATACATCGTCATGACGATTATTTTGCACACCCTTAGTTTAGAATCAATGCTTATCTTTATTTTGACATTTTATTTTATTTTTTCTAATTTTTAGAAAACAACATTTTTAATACTAATAAAAATATACTTTCAATGTTTTTGTACGTGTCATTAATGAAACCTTAATATAGAACAATATAACATTTTAAGCAAAGTTTGTCTGACCTTATTCACAATGTGCTATTTTTAGTAAAAACAGTCAGCATATTTCAAATAAATACTTTATTTTAGGAAATTTAAAGAGTGTTTCTTTTTAGAAATCAAAAAACGTTAATCGGAAAAGTTTAATTTCCGGTCTGTATGTCACAACTTAATCCAGAAATTACAGAATAAAAACTATCATAAAATAGTTTGATAAAGAAGATAAAGTTTTCAGTTAATTTCTGGTTCTTTCAGCTAAAGCCTTTTATAACAGCAGCTTTGTTCTCCTGAACAGGCCAAAACATCTTGTTTAGTTGTCTGGTTCATTCTTGCTTTTGCTTATTCCCATTCAGAAGAACAAAGCTTCATCTGTTACATGTTTCCTGTTCAGCGGTTAATGAAACCAGCTTGTACTGATATGGTTCCTCACAGCTGAATGAAGCGTGGCTGGAGGCCCTCCTCGCTTCTGATTGGCTCTGTGCTGTTGTGGACCTTCATGTGGACGTCCCTGGAGCGTTTCTCCTGGTAGCTTTTCCCACAGACCGGGCAGCTGTAGGGCTTCTCTCCAGTGTGGGTCAGCAAGTGTTTCTTCAGGTCGTTCTTGGTGACGAAGGCCTTCCAGCACAGGTGGCACTTGAAGGCCCGCTCCTTCTTGTGGAAGCGGATGTGGGTCTCCAGGTATCCTTTGGTGCTAAAACTTTTGTTGCACAGGCTGCAGCTGAACGGTTTCTCTCCAGTGTGTGTCAGCATGTGTGCATTCAGCCCTCCCAGTTGCCTGAAGGCTTTCCCACAGATGCGGCATGGAAACGGCTTCTCCCCCGTGTGAATCCTCATGTGCACCTCCAGGACTTGTAGAGACGACAGACTCTTCTCGCAGATCTCACAGGAGACACGGCTGACAGGTCGATCGGTGGTGTGCTTCCTGATGTGCGCCGTCAGAGAGGTGCTCTCTGTAAATGTCTTCCCACAGAACTCGCAGATGTATGGGCGCTCCCCACTGTGGATCCTCTTGTGTCGCCGCAGGGCGCTGGGACGTGGGAAGGACTTCCCACAGATGCTGCAGGGGTATGGTCTGATGCCCGTATGGCTCCGCATGTGGGTCTCAATGTTCTGGAAGGTGTTTCCACAGATGTGGCAAACCTTACCTTCTTCCCTGTGACCCTGCAGGTGGCGGGTCAGCGTCTCAGATGGCGGCAGACACTCACCGCAGACTCCACAGACAGACTCTGAGGAGTGGCTCTTAGCATGTTTCCTTAGATTTCCTTTGCCTTGAAAAGTCTCCCCACAGACTTTGCAGGAGGATGATGGATAACCTGACATCTTGCCATTTTGACTGTCTGCGTTTCCACTCTGGTCGTTCTCTTGAGACTCGGTGTCTGCTATCCTGCTGACGTGTTGATGCTTGGAGCTGTGGGTCCTCTTGTGTCGCCTTAGGGCACCAGGTCGGGGGAAGCGTTTGCAGCAGATGGAACAACGGTACGGCCTGAACCCTGTGTGGATCCGCATGTGTGTCTCCATGTTCTGGAAACTCTTTCCACAAATGGTACATGTCCCACCGGTCTCTCTGTGAGACTGCAGGTGAGTCTGTAGACCGTCTGATGAATCTAGCAGCTTTCCACAAACTCCACACATGCATTTGGAGTCGCTACTGTGTGTCTCTGCATGTTTTGTTAAGAAGCCTGGGCTGTGAAATGAATCCCCGCAGACTCTGCAGCAGAGCGAGGGGTTTTCTTTCTGATTGAACGTCTCTGACTCATCATCCTGTCTTATATCATCCCCTTCCCTCTGATCTCCATGTTTCTTTAGGTGCTCCAGCTGGTTCTCAGCAAACGTCATTCTACCGTTCTGGCGGGAGTTGAGCTTCCCTGTGCTGTGAATCTTCTTGTGCCTCTTCAGGGCTGCAGCTCGTGGGAAGCTCCTGCTGCAGATGTCACAGCTATAGGGTTTCACCCCGGTGTGGCTCCTCAAGTGTGTCTCAATGTTCTGAAACATCTTCCCACAGACGTTGCAGGTCCTGCTTGTGCAAACGGAGTCCCTGTGGGAGCTGAGGTGCTCTGATAAGTCTTCTGAAGCCTTGAGGTGTTTTCCGCAGACTCCACAGAGATTCTCTGGGCAGTCTGCATGCTTTTCCACATGTCTCACAAGGTTTCCTTTGTGACGGAATGTTTTCCCACAGATTACACAGCGATAACAGGCGGGTTTATCAGAAGAGGCAGTCTGACTTTCTTCATCTGCTCCGTCTCTTTCTTTCTTGTCTGAGTTTTTGATACCGATCCATTCCTCATCACTCTCAGCGACAGAAACGTCTGAGGAGGCAGAACTTACTGGATCGGACGTCAAACGGAGGCTTTCATCTTTTACGGGCATCTTGACTGCAGAGGAGCACATGGGAACTGAAAGAGAGAGATACTGTCTTTAGTTTATGCAAATAATTTAACTTTCCTCCCCATCTTATTACATTTTTAATTTTTTATTTGATTTGACGAAATACGGTCCGACACAAAGCAGGTCATAATTCGGAGGTTGAAGGAAAAATGCTAAGTGGTGTTTAGTGTTTTTGAGGAATCTAAATGGTTTGGCACACATGTCTGTTTTATGGACTTTAAAAAAAACACAATACAAGTAATACTTCTGTTGCTTTACTTCCAGTCATTAAAGACAAGATAGATAAACTAAACAGTGTGCATAACAGTGGTGATTTCTCACTGAATACTAGGGAGGATAAAGCTCCACTGTAATTTTTTATAAAATGATTGGTAAAATATGTATTGTGAAACTTTGGAAATATAGTCATTAATCTGCACTAAATATGCGCTAAAATGCTCCCGATTATATTACGTATAGTACGTATCTCTTCTGGAGCAGAAGGACGCTGCCGATCTGCCTCTATGCTGTAGGTTTGAGCCTCTTGTTTATTGAGGTAAGCAGCGAGAAAGTAGAGCCCTGAATGGACAACACACCACAATATGTCACTTCCAGGGAGGCTAAACCTCTTAGAGGGTCTACGTAGCATGGGCGGGTGGTGAAGCTGGCTGCTTGATGCTGATTGGCAAACATACTTAAGGATTTTTGACTGACAATGGCCAGACAGCAAGGAGGTTTTTCTACATGAGTCGAGAGGGAAAAGTGATCATTCAGTCAGAACAGTTATCAAGTGCTGAACTCTTACTGGAGTTTATTATTTCAGAGCGCTTCACAGCAGTTATTTTCCCCTGTTGTATGTTTTATATGTTTCGACATTTATTATACAATATGTGACGTTTGCATCTGATTAACATAATTGAGCCTCCCCTGGTTTAGAGAACAGCAGCAGCCACTAGTACAAAACTACAGACCAATTGCTCTTGCCAGCACTCTTTCAAAAGTGTTGAGACTATTGCTTTCACAACGTTTGTCTTGACAAGTGATAATCACTTTTGGATTTAGAAATAAGGCAGGGCACAGAAGTGCATTTATGCACTAAAAGAAATTGTGGGAAAATATTTTAGGTTTAGTACTTCAGTTTGTCTGTGCATTATTGATGCCATAAAGTAAACCATAAAGTAAACCAATGATAAGTAAACCATTCTAAGCTATTTAAAGACGTATGCAAAGATATTCTGTATGGATCCTTGTCTCTTGGAATGCAAATTAACTCATGTACATAAAATTGGATAAAGCCATCTCAGAATTTTTTCGTGTTTGTAATGGTGTCCGAAAAGGTGGAATTCTTTCTCCAGCTCTGTTTAATGTTTACATTAATGATTTGTTATCACTGTTAAATAGTTATAAGACAGGGCATTTTTTTTTTTGGTACATCAGTTATTAACCACCTCATGTGCGCAGATGATCTGGTGAGTAATCAGGTTTTGAAAAAAAAACCCATTTGAGCAGCTACAGTATATACACTAGGCGTGGAACAGTTCACAAAATCCACGGTTTGGTTCGGTTCACGGTTTCGTGGTCACGGTTTTCCGTTCGGTTA